ACGAGCCGCGAACAGCTAAACGAGCCGCGAACAGCTAAACGAGCCGCAAACAAATTAACGATACAAACTCTAAAACAAAACAACAACAAAAAAACACAACAGAGAAATTCTGCAATCACAGAAAATAGAAGAAACATACAACCAACAAAACAGCAAACAAACGCTGCAAACTCACTCCTCAACATGGAAATGCACCAGACCAGGAGGGGGACTGGACCAAGTCATCTGGGACCGGATCCTCTATAAATACAGCAGAGCTGCCACTTTTTAAAGTTATAATACGTAATATAATAAACCATAATATTTCATAGTATGCCAGGATATTTAAAATCTCTCAACTAAAGAGAAGTTTTGGTAACGTTAGGAAACAAAAAGTAGCTACTGTTCAAGGAACAGATAGAAAATGAAACTTTGGTTAGACAACGGCTTTAAATCATGTCATTTGATATTTCATAAGAAAACCAGAAACATTAACATAAATATAAACAAATAGCATTAGAGAAATGTTGCCACATTGTGAAATGTTTCAGAATTAGGGGGGTCGGGGTCACAAAACAAGCAGTGAGTCCAGCAGAGATGATTTGTCACATTCTACGAGCTCCCAATAATTGTAGTCTGCAGTCTGTGTTTATAGAACTGATATTATTGTTTAACTAGGCCTGTTACAATAACAAATTTTGCTGGGCGATTAATTGTCTCAGAAATTATTGCGATAAATTATAATATTGTTTGAAATTTAACAATAATTGATAATTATTGTCAAATGTAAGAAGAAATGTTGGTTAATTTATTTTGAGTGTAGTACCTTTTTTGACCACTAGATGGCAGTATAAAACAGTTTGAACAGAAGGATGGATAATGAGGGAGCGAGCAGCCTCTTTAAGAAAAATGAGAGGGAGGCCCCTTGACATGACATGGGCTGTCTCTTTTTGGTTCTCAAAATGGCGGACGCTTGGTGTGGTTTGAGCTCTTAAGCATAGCATTTTTCACACAACGCTTTTAATAAACAGTAAACAAGTTCTCAGCTTCTTTAAAAAAAAAAAAAAAAAACTTTTTAGACGAAGGCACGGGTTTCAACTGTGAATTTTGAAGCACGACAAGACGGAGGTTTTTTCCCCGAGATCGGCCTGTTAGCTTAGCTCGTAGCTTAGCTTCTCAGGTTAGCTGCTTTTAACGATCCAAAAATGTGATTTTTGGATCGTTAAAACAGATTTTATAGACAAAGGGAGGGGTCAGTGAAGAGTTAAGCGTTTTATCATCCAGTGTCTTCAGTAGAAAGAGAGACACGAAGAAACGATAAAGCTGATAAATGAAAATGAGGTCGATAATTTTCATTTGTCATGTGATTGATTTATTGTTTATTGCAACAGGTCTATGTTTGATCAGCATAAAGGGCCTCGAGCAGTTTACTAAACAGGCTGTTATTCAAACTACATTTCTAAATATTTTCAACAAAGTTCACTAATCTTTATGAAGTAAACATTTACTACCCAACACCAAAATATTATGGATCCATTAGAACAGAAAATATGTTCTTAACATACTCTTGGTACCAAAACAGACATGTTTAGGATTCTGTTGTAATAATTGCTGGTTGCTGCTTCTTAAGACAATTACAGACTAAAATAACCAGAAAACATTTCTCTTTAAAATAAAATACTTTGAAGCTTCAAGTACTCTGTGCACATTGAACTCTTAAAATAAAACACGTTTTGGTCAGTGGCTGCTCAGATAGAAAGTGTTTACAGTGGGAGGGGGTCTGGTTCCAGATGTGGTCCAGTCCCCCTCCTGGTCTGTTTTGAGGAGTGAGTTTGCAGCGTTTCTTATTTGCAGTTGTTCTGATGGTTGTATGTTTCTCCTTCTGTTCTCTGGTTGTACATGGTTTATGTTGCAGCGTTTTTCTGTTTCATTTGTTTTTGTTGTGGAGTTGGCATCATTCGTGTTTGCAGCTGTTCGCTTGGAAACATTTTTTTCCTGCTCATAACTTCTGATGCACTCGAGATGATTTAACCAAACCTGATACACGTGCATCATCACTAGTGTTGCGTAATTTTTTCATGACCCCAGCTCCAAGGTCAAGGTCAAGTGTTGCACATGGTGTGTTTGTGGTTGTCTCCGGTTGTGCTGCATGTTGGCTTCACTCCCTCTCATCGTCTTGTCAGGCAGTAAATTTTCCTGAGTTGTTCTGGAAGTCATTTTGACGCAGTGTTCAGTCATGTTTTGTGTTTTTTGTTCCAGATCCCGTCAGACCAGGGAGCCATGGCCTTACAGATGCTGAAAATGATCACGCAGCAGGACTGATTGACCCGCTGCACCACCGGGAGCGCTTTGACAATCACAATAATCCTTTAACCTTCCTCATCTTTCTGTTTGTTTTCTTGTGACACCGTTTCACATATCAGTTATATTTGATTATAGCCTTTTATGAACAAATCTGAAATAAATCCTGACACAGGGCTGATGTTTTGTACAAAATGCAGATGTTCTTTGAACATGTTGATGCACAGATTAATTAAAGTAAAACTTGAAGCGTAGACTCAGACTGTGAGGATGAATGGAGTTCAGTAAACACATTTACAGGCTGATGGAGGAGGACGTCCCTGAACTATCGTCCAATAAGAAGACATCAGACAATTTAATGAGGTAGAAAACTTAGTCCTGATTAAGTCAAGTTCTGCTGGATGAATACAGTCGTGGAAAAAAGTCCTCTTTCAGGGAAAAGTGCAAACTTTGATGTGTAGCAGGACATAATACAGATTATTTGGTCTTTACCAGGTTTTAAAGTTATTCAAATTGACAAAACACCAATCAGATTGTTTATTAAGCTAAAAGGAAACAACTGTTAAAAAACATTACATCCACATCTCGCTCTGCATCTTTTAGAACCTCCTTCAGCAGCAGGAATGGGTTTCTTCAGGACTGTTGGTCTCGTGGTGTTGAAGGAAGTTCGGCTGCTCATCAGAAACAAACTCAAAGAACTGAAGCAAAGTTTTTAAAGAAGAGTGGGCCAAAATTTCTCCAAAACCATGTTAGAGACTGAACAATACTGAGTTAACTATAGACCTGTCGCAATAAACAATAAATCAATTAATCGCATGATAAATGAGAATTATCATCCTCATTTTCAATTATACCATACCATTTTATTTATAGAGCACTTAAAACAGCGACAAGGCCAACCAAAGTGCTGTACAGACTAGAGGATGACATTTTTTCTGGAGTACCGTGGGTCACGTGATTCCGGCAGGACCGGAGTCAACCTCATTATAACTCACATGACCGGGACGTGACCGAACTGAAAGTTAACGGGAGCAGACAGGAGCGGGAACCGACCAATAACTAAAAATGAAACAAAACAAAACCAAAAAACGGCGCAGCTATTTTGTAGTTTTCCTTCAGTAAGCCTTCACTTTAACACAAGTCAACCATTTTTACTCTGGACCAGGATTGGGACAGGACAGGATTATTTCTGTGGGACCAGGACAGGAGTAAAAATCCACTCCTGTGTCATCCTTTAGTACAGACAGAACAACAGATAACACACAAAGCAAAATACAAAATGAGGTAAATCGGAATATAGACATAAAAACGATGCAGATAATGACAACAAACCAGTGTGGAGCGTACAGGTTCAAAATACAGATCATTTGGTGATGAAAGCCACCGAATAGTAGTGGGTTTTTAAACGGGACTTGAAAACCGAGAGGGAGGGGGCCTGTCTGATAAGCAGAGAGGTAACTCGTTCCAAAGTCTTGGTCCTGCTAAGAGAAGGCCCTGTCACCTCTGCGCTTAAGACGAGTTCCTGGAACTGTGAGGAGCAACAGGTCCGCTGACCTCCGGGAACGTGGTGGGACATACGGTTGTAGCAGATCAGAGAGATGGAGGGGGCGGGCAAAACTGTTCAGTGATTTGTAGACATACATGAGTATTTTGAACTGGATTCGAAAGTGAACCGGTAACCATTGCAGTGAGGCCAAAACTGGTGTAATGTGCTCTCTTTTGCCTGTACTGTTTAAAAATCGGGTTGCTGCATTCTGGACCAGTTGTAGTCGTGCAATGGAGGTCTGACTGATACCAAACAGGAGTGAATTGCAGTAATCAAGCCTAGATGTAATGAATGCATGTATTACTGTCTCCAGGTTATTTTTGGACAGTATGGGCTTCAGCTTAGACAGCCGCCTCAGTTGGAAGAAACATGATTTAACAATCATATTTACATGATTGTTAAGTTTCAGGGAAGGGTCCATTATCACTCCCAGATTAGTGACTCTTTGTTTTTCTGACAGGGTTAGAGCGGAAAGGTCGATGCAGTGGTTTGTGATCGTGTCGTTGGGAGGGAACAACATGACTTCAGACTTCTTTTCATTGAAACTTAAGAAGTTTAAAGCCATCCAGTCCCTGATGTCAGCCAGGCAGTCGAGCAGCGGTTGAATAGAGCATGTACCATTGTGTCTTAGGGGGAAGTAAATTTGACAGTCATCGGCATAGAAGTGGAAGGGCATGCTGTGTTTCTGGAAAATGCACCCGGCATAGAAGTGGAAGGGCATGCTGTGTTTCCGGAAAATGCACCAAGCGGCAGCAGGTATAAAGAGAATAGGAGGGGACCCAGGATGGACCCCTGCGGAACCCCCCATTTAAGCTCTGCCTCTGCGGAACTAAAATCCTCGATGGAGACACAAAAGGATCTGTCAGGGAGGTAAGATCTGAACCAATTGAGGGCTGACCCTGTGATGCCCACCCACTGCTCTAACATAGCAATGAGGATCTCATGGTCGATGGTGTCAAAGGCGGCTGTGAAGTCCAACAGGACAAGCAGCACAGAATCACCAGTATCTGTGGATCGGAAGATGTCGTTAAAGACCTTCAGCAGGGCAGTTTCAGTGCTGTGGAGAGGTTTAAAGCCAGATTGGAATAGCTCTAAGATGGTGTGACCTTCCAGGAAGCACTTCAACTGGGATTTGACTATTTTCTCCAGTACTTTAGAAACAAATGGGAGTTTGGAGACAGGCCGGAAGTTGGATATGACTGAGGGGTCAAGGTTTGGTTTTTTTCAGGAGAGGCTGGACAGCAGCATGTTTAAAGGATTTTGGCACCACGCCAGTGGATAAACTGTTTACTATGGCAAGAATGGACGGACCTAGAGTGGGAAAAACCTCCTTTAGTAGTCGAGGGGGGACCACATCAAAGGGGGAACCAGAAGGTTTCAAGCTGCACATGACCTGCTCTAGAGAAGACAGAGTGATGGGTTCAAAATGGTCAAATAGAGCTACAGATTCAGGTGGGATGGATGGGTCATGAGTTGGAGGGGAAATGAGAGCCCGGGTGGTCGCAATTTTTTCCAAAAAGAAATGTAAGAATTTGTCGCACAGCTCAGTCGAGGCTTCCAGAGGTGATGGTTCAGTGAGGTGGAGAACAGAGTTTAGGGTGGAGAAGAGAACACGTGGGTTGCGAGAGTTTGAGGTAATTCTATCAGAAAAGTATTTGGATTTAGCAGCTTTCACTGCTTTCTGATAACGACACCAACTCTCTTTAAGTATTTGAAAAGAGACCTGCAGCCTGTCTTTCCTCCATTTGCGCTCCACCCTCCTGCATTGCTGCCTAACGGCCTTGGTGACGTCACTCAGCCACGGTTCTGCTTTGAGTTTTGATTTTTTGGTTTTAATAGGCGCAACATGATCCAGAGTCTTTAAGCAGACAGAGTTGAACTGGGATGTCAGCTCCTCAGTGGTGGTGAGAAACACCGGGGGCTGAATTATCATTTCAGAGTTATAAACATCTGTGAAACGTGCAGCAGTGAATTGTTAATAGCCCGGGTGCTACATGCAGGAATGCACGACTTAGGAGTTAGATGGAGGAGGGTGAACTCAAACTGGACTGGCATGTGGTCTGAAAAAACATCATCACCAATAACAAGATTATTAACAGTCACATCAAGGTCCAGTGTATGTCCGCGCTCTTGGGTGGGACCGTTTACATGCCAAGTTAGATTAAATGAGTCCAATAAATCTAAAAAGTCCTTAACAAAGGGCTTCTCCAGACAGCACACATGCAAATTAAGGTCCCCAATAATGAAAACGTGCTCATATTTTGGTGTGATTTCAGCCAAGAAGTCAGAAAACTCATTTATCAATCAACCTTTATTTAGACAGGTAAATCCCATTGAGCCTCGAGGACTCATTTACAAGAGAGACCTGATTTCAACAAAGAAAGATGACAACAATGGACAACAGCAACAACAATAAACAATTATAAAAAGTAATACTGCAGGTTTTTTTTTTTTTTTTTTACAAATAGGATGGCTAAAAGGAAAAGGTAACAAAAAAAAAAACAGCTAGATTCTAAGGCAAATGTAGAAAACTAAAAACAGGAACATGTCTGCATTGGTCCCTGCCAGGAGTCCAACAGATTCTTAAAGCCACTTAGAGAGGTCAAGATCGAGAGCTTCAAATCTTTTTGTAAGATATTCCAGGAAACAGGAGCGGAGTAGGAGAAGGCCCTTTTGCCTAGTTCAGTCCTCATTGAGGGAACACTGCAGGTAATAATGTCCTGAGAGCGCACTCCGTAGCTGCACTCACGCAGAGACATGTAGGAGGAGATGTATGAAGGCAACAGACCAAGAAGTGATTTAAAGATGAAAATATACCAGTGAGAGAGTCTGCGTGAAGTTAATGATGTCCAGTTAAGCAGTGAATACAGGGTGCAGTGGTGGGTACGATAATCACAGCCAGTTATGAATCTTAGTGCACCATGATAGACAGAGTCCAACATCTGCTGGGTTCTTGTAGGAGCGTTCATGTAAATAATGTCACCGTAATCAATGGAGGTAAGGAAAGTCACAGATACAAGGCGTTTTCTAGCATTCAGGGTTAGACAGGATCTGTTTCTGAAAAAGAAACCCAGTTTAACTTTCAGTTTCTTTACCAAGTTTTCCACATGGAGCTTAAAAGAGAGATGTGAGTCGACCAAGATACCCAAATATTTATAGGAATCAACAAACTCAATGGGGACACCATTTGAGGATAAAATCGGAGGAAGAACTGCTGGGACCAACTTCCTATGTGAAAAAAGCATCCCTTTGGTTTTGTCGAATTTATGAAATCGATTTATGAAATCCTTAGATCGAGGTGGGCAGTAGACGAGTGCAAATAAAGTCTGAGGTGAATGTCCGAGTTCAAAGACGCTCAGCTCAAAGCTGGCGCGGGAAAGTGGGATGGGCAGTTGTTTACAGTCAAAAAAGTTGATTTGAATAGTTAATAATCCACCACCGCGCCAGCCTGATGGCTGTGGTGTGTTAAAATACAGACAGTTCGGTGGCAATAATTCCGACAAGGCGCTGGACTCACCCGGAGACATCAAAGTCTCTGTGATGCACAAAAAGTCTAACTCGTGCTCTTGAAAGTAGTCCCTAAGGATAAAAGTTTTGTTGGTAACAGATCTTGCGTTGACCAACACATCTGGATACTGTCCGAAGTGGAGCCAGCAGCGGTGGAGTTAGCGCGCGCCATTGGCCGCAGGTTTTCAATAACAGCCCATCCAGGTCGGTCCGAGCGGTGCACTGGCCGACAACTCCCATTGTTTACCTGGTCCGGGCACGCGGGAAGCTGGCGATGGAAACCATGACCACCAGCTGAAGAGGAAGATGCAGCGCACAGGGCTTTAAGCTTCACCAGCCGCCCAGCACGTTTTCCCCGGCGTCTGAAGCGATGTCTCCGGGCAGGCAGGTGAGGAGCGCAGCGGAGGTAAAATGGCACGTCCGCCAAGAGGGGGGGGAGGGGGGGGCAGAGGTACGCTGATAATGGTCCAAATAAGCGACATCGGTGGCAGAAAAACAAAGATCCAGAAGCTGTTGTCTGTCATACATCAGGAGTGAATTTATGCCACAGATAAAAAACGAACAAAAGAAAAATAATCCGAACAACATCAGCAGAGGTGGATTGTAAGCCATGTACACGGGCGCCATCTTACCGGAAGTCCTTTCTATTTAAAGCTATTTAAAGAGCTTCTATATAAACGTTTCTATTTAAGCCAGCGAGTCAGAGTCTTTATTTAAATTGTCCACATTTTGTCACATTTCAACCACAAACTCCATGACAGAGCAACAAACAACAAAAATGATGCAAATACAAATAAAAACCTGAAGTGTTGCGAGTGCTTTACTCTGATACTCAGGACAACCAGCTGCCTGTACCTGATCAGTAAATGGAGTCCAAACAGCATCATGAAGACCAAGGACCACACCAGAGGTTAAGGCTCCCACAAACTCGCATGTACTTCAGTCTACAGAGGTCCACGTGTACTGGATTGGACTCGAAGCGGACACCTGAAGGGCATGTCCGTGCAAAGATCAAGTTTTACGACTGTGTACACGTACTCTGTGTCACTCAACAAACTGTCCGGTGACGGACTGTTTTGTATGCAACACCAATGAGGCAGCTGTGGCTGAGTGGTTAGAGCAGTCGTCCTCCAATACAAGAGTTGGGGGTTCAAATCCACCAGCAGCCACATGTCGAAGTGTCCCTGAGCAAGACCCTGAACCCCTCGATGCCTCCGATGTGTGTCTCATCAATGTATGAATGTGATAAAGCACAGATTAGTCTCTTTAGAATAATTTGTTCAATTAGCTTTGTAGAGATCTAGTATAGAGCTGTGTGAATGGGTACATGAGGCACAGATTGTTGTAAAGAGCTTTGAATATCTTGATTAGATAGAAAGGTGATATAAAAGTACAGTCCATTTATTAAACTCCCCTTCTTCATCCCTGATCTGGTTTAATGGCCTTTTCTTTAGTTTTTTTTTCCCCAAGAGGCAACAATCTCTTCCTCCTCCATTGACTCCATGACTGAAATTGTGAGAAATTAAGGAATTTGTCACGAGAGAATTAAAATCAGGTCCAGCGTGGCTGCAGGAGGGTCTGGAGATTTCCTGGTGGTATGGTTTAATGTGTGGACTGCAGGGCCAGTGCTCCCCGTTTTATTTTTTTATAAGTTTTTATTAACAGCATATAAACACAGAACACCGCTGCCACTTGCTTTCGTTTTTTTTGCGACCTGTCAATCAATCCAGTAGGCATGTCAGCAAATGACCAATCGGCAACCTCAATTTGTCCCGAAGGTAAACGCCTCTTGCCTGCGGAGCTGGTCTGCAGCCACTCAGGGTGGACGCTCGAGTATGAAGTCTCAACCGTCTGCGGACAGTTTCTGCGCAGCTCACGGTCCGCCCAAGTCTGTGGGAGCATTTAGGTTAAACAACTTCTCTGTTTAGTCAGTCATCTGAAAACAGACTTCATCTGGAGTATAAAGAGCAGCTTGGAGTGAAATGCTTCATTTTACCCAGTTGGAGTTGATGGCTCCCAGTTGTTCTTTAATATTTCGGTCTCAGATCATGCTGTGCCATAGCACGGTACATTGTTATAAAGGAACATCCATCCATGATGTGAGCGTGATGACTTCATAAATAACGGAGGTACAGACGTGCATTTGGGGTGTGGCTTCCTCTAGGCATGCAGGTGCATCTCAAAAAATTAGAAATGGTGACAAAGTTCAATATTTTTTGTCCATCATTTCAGAAAGTGAAACTCAAATGTTACATAGATTCATCACACAGAGTGAAATATTTCATCCTTCATTTCTTGTAGTTTTGATGATTATAACTTACAGAAAATGAAAAACTCAACTTCAGTGTCTCAGTAAATGAGAATGATCCAGAACCAGCTGTTGGTACCTTTGTCAGTGTGGACCGGTGTCGAGTCCTGCTGGAAAATGAAACCAGCATCTCCATAAAGTTCGTCAGCAGCAGGAAGCATGAAGAGCTCTGAAATGTCCTGCTAGATGCTGCGGGGACTAAACCCAGTGGACCAGAACCAGCAGAGGACATGGACCCGAACCATCACTGACTGGAAACTTCTCTCTGGACTTCAACAGCATGGATTCTGGACCTGTCCACTCGTCCTCCAGACTCTAAATATGATAAATTAATTTTCATGTGACAAGAGGACATTGGACACTGAGAGACAGTCCAGTTGTTTGTGTCCTCAGCAGGTAAGACACTTCTGATGTCTGTGGTTCAGGAGTGTCTGGACTTGAGGAATGAGGGTTTGTAGCTCGTGTTGAGGAGTCCATCAGCTGATCAGGCAGTGACACCAGGAGTTTACAATATGAACCTCTTCATGATATTCTCATTTTCTGACACTCTGGATTTTAGTTTTTCATTATTTGTAATTTATAATCATCAAAATTGCAAGAAACAAAGTCTTGAAATGTTTCACTCTGTGTAATGTTTGTGTTTGTTATGTTTCACTTTCTGAAATGACTGACGGGACAAGAAAATGTGATTGCAGGTCACCCATTGTTCAGATAACAAGAATGAGAGGAGGTTGCAGCTCTGTGTCTTCTTGAGGTCCCTGATCCACACAAGGGCCAACCCACAAACCGATCAGGTTCCAGGAGCCCTCAGGGTGGGGGCCTGTGTGTATCAGGGTATAATGGCACAGCCCCACTAGAACCAGAGTCACAAGGATGGGTCAGAGGATCCATTAATCTGAACAGGACATTCTTATGTGCAACAAATCCTAATAGCCTTGGGTTCACACGTATCAGATGTCTTTAAGTTTTAAAACAAAACACCATGTTCATGAAACAGACTGACAGGACTATTCAACTGGTGGTCCGGGGGTCAAATCTGGCCCACGGATGAGCTGAGGTCTGCCCACCAATGGGTTCATTATAAACTAAAACTAGATTTTAAACCATAAAACAAACTTAATGACAATAACTGCTGGATGTCCGGCCCCTGAGCTGCTGGCTTTCAGGAAGTGTGGCCCCCTGAGCAGTTTAGTTGAACAGTCCTGCTTTGAGGTGTTAAGGTCCCAGGGTTTGATGCATCACTGTACAACTCAGTAACAAAGAAAAAGTGATTTCATTCTATCCCGACAGGCTCTTCACGGTCATTGTGATGTGTATTTTTCAGCCATGACGATGCTGTGCAGAAGTTCCAGACAGACTCAGACATAAAAAGCCTGCAGCCTTTTCCACTACATTCCTGCGAGAAAATCATTTCAATCTATTAATGAGAAGAAAGACTTCAGATAAAGTGCCGCAGCTGAGACCGGTCCAGTTCTTGACTGCACCAACGTCTCTGGTGAAACAGCCAAAGCATCTTTGTGTAAAATCTATTGTGCAAAGTCCTCAGTGTAGCTGAGCTGCCTTCTTCCCCACAGGTGTTCAGGAACTTGGAAGCCATTCCTCATCACTGGTTCCACGAGCAGCTCAACCAGGCCGGGTGGTTCTGGCACAACCAGCTCCGTCACCCTGAACACGTTTGAGTAAGCCTTGCTCACCAGCTCCAGTGGACCCGGAGGGATTCGAGGATCGGGGCCTCTCAGCCGACGCCAGTACACCCTGAAGTGGCGCACAAGTTGGAGCGGATAGTTCCAGCGCAGGGTGGCGTTCAGGCGCAGGAGGGGGGATGCACCCTCTGGTGATGAACCGGCACCGCGCATCCAAACAACATCGTTGATGCACAAACCCGCAACAGCAAGGGGGGGTCCCTGCAGACCACCTACATCCAGCACCTTACAGAAACAGACCAGAGACATGTTGGGGGTGAGAGGGGGGTCAGAGTTTAAACTGATCAATTATCAGATTGATTTATCAGATAAATAAAAATAGTTTATGATAAAAAGGACCATTTAAGATTTGAAGTGAGTAATCTGTGAATGAAAGAAACAACTTGTCATCAGCTTCATGGAAGGAACGCCTGCCTTCCACGCTAGAGGTGTAAATTAAGATGATCCTATGTGGAGGAATGACAGAGTGACAAATGTTTAAGGTAAACCTTGAAAACAACAACATGCGTGTTCTCATGTAAGATGTCATGCTCAGAGCATGTGGTGAGGATCACTCTTCACTACCACCACAAAGTTGGTCCCAATTTCTGTCAAATGTACAGTTATACCCAGACTTGTGCTGCCCAGTCTCAGTTTGCTGTGAAAACCTGTCCAGTGATTCATGAGTTATTTTGCTAACACAGAAAGCACAGAAGATGGAGTGAGATGGAGGATAAACCAGTGTGGTGACCCCTGAAAATGGAACAGTCCAAAGAAGGGGAGCTCCTATTAAAATGTTTCTGAATGTCAGCGCTCATCGTGTGTGTGGATCAGTCTGAGCTGCACACACTGAACCTCAAGATCAGTCAAATTCACTGAGTTAGAGGCAACGGTGTGTTTCTGAAGGTCACACGACTGTGGCAGCCATCTTATACTGGCTGAACGTCAGAAGTTAATCATTTGGAGACGATTAATTCCTGAAAGTTTCATTAAAATTGTTCTAAAGGTTCATATGTATATATATATATATATATATATATATATATATATATATATATATATTTCGAAGTCCTATTCTGTATCTTGTTACTTGTTTGTATGACGTGCGCTGCCGCCTGTTCTTGGCCATGTCACCCTTGTGAAAGAGTATTTTTTAATTTGGTTAAATAAAGTTTTTTTTTTTAAAAAGTTTTTAGTGAGTTTCCCTCCTTAGTCCTTTCGATCCCTGCCGTGTGCGACGTCTGACCCTCGCGCCAACTCTCACGACTTATGGTCCAACCAAGCAGCTAAAAAAACGGTCGTGAGTACAGTAAACATAACCAAGTCCATGCTCAATAATCCAGGTGTACAATCCAACATTTTTCAGTCAGGTCATCTTTTTAGTGCTGAAACATTTCGCCTTCGATCCGGAAGGCTTCATCAACGTTTCAGCACAACAAAAGAAACTGTCCAGATGACCTGACTGAAAAATGTTGTACAGCAAACATATGTAAAAAGTTAAATCTGGTCCTCTGGACATTCAAAAACAAAATAAAGCAAAACAACAACAAAAAAACAAAAAAAGTAGAAACGTTTCGTCTTTCATCCGAAAGACTTCCTCAGTCTGAGGTGCTGTATTCTCTCTCTCCGAAACACTGAGGAAGTCTTTCGGATGAAAGACGAAACATTTCTACTTTTTTGTTGTTGTTTTCTTTTGTTTTTTGAATGTCCAGAGGACCAGATTTAACTTTTTTTAGATTTTTCTACCTGGATTATTGAGCATGCATCAGGACACAGTAAACACAGCTCCACCCAGATCAAATGATGTGCCTCTTATAAAGCAGCATCACTTCACTGCTGTCACTTTGTGCACATGCAGTGTGTTCATGCTGTTGATACACTCAGCAAGTTCAGAGGGTTCAGATCACTTGAGCTTTCTCCACTGTCGCTGGCATACAGCTCCATCTTGAATACACTCTCCTGCCTGTGCCCGGTCCCCGGTGTGACATCACCAGCCTGAAGTTATCAGCAATGGGCAGCTGTGGCTGAGTGGTTGGTGCAGTCATCCTCCAATGCGAGAGTTGGGGGTTCAAATCCACCAGCAGTCACATGCTGAAGTGTCCTTGTGCAAGACACTGAACCCCTCACTGATGTGTCCCATCAGTGTATGAACGTGATAAAGCACTGATTAGTCTTTTTATAGGTATAGTAGAGTATGAATGGGTGAATGAGGCACAGTGTAGGGTTTCTGGGGTCTGGTCCTGTCTTTAGTGTTCACCTCAGTGTTCCTCCTCTCTGTGTTCCAGCTCTGTCTCACCTGTGTCCAATCTAATCACTGCAGGTGTCTGTCACTTCACCTTCGTCAGTGTCTGTATATATTCATCCCCTTGATGTCTTGTCAGTGTCTCTGGATTGTCCTTCATCGGGCTTTATGGATCTGTCTTCCTTCGTGTCCTCCTCTAAGTAAGTTAGCTGCCCCGTCAGAATCTTGTTTTGTTTATTTAGTTAATAAACAGTTTTTACTTATTTACTGGAGTCTCTCGGCGTCTTCCTGCACATGGGTTCAGACACGTGCAGCAGATCATGGTACACAGATTGTAGTGTAAACCACTTTTAGTATCTTGATAAAATAGAAAGTCGTTATATAAGTGCAGTCCATTTACCATTTACCATGTGCTCGGGTGTGACTGGTTTGTTTCTTTTAAGGATTTGTTAACACTTGTGCAGCCCGAATGCAAAAAACATACAACAATCATCTCTGACAGTGATGACCCCTTAAGAGCACTTGGGACTACAACGGTGGGTGTTGGACTTTAAATAATGTACGTTGTAGGACATCTATCATTACTCTCTCACCATTATTTCTCCAAGCCTGCAGCTGAAAGGCTCGTCCCGAGGTGCTCCTTCCCGCTGAATAAGAACACAAACTTCTCTGAGAAAGCAGCCATGAAGCTCCAGCTGCGAACATCTGCCCAGAGAATCAGTGACAGAACAGAGTCAAATTAAATCAAAATGAACTGAGCTGTTACTCAGCAGTGAGCAGCCCCTCACCTTAAAGTCCAGCCATCTGGATTCAGGTTTCCACACAGCTGAGAAAACTGGCTCACTATCTGGTGCCCTTCATCCAGAACCTCAGGGGAAACACAGGGAACTGCAAGATACAGGAAAAATATTAACAAGAGTTTTGCCACATAAACTTTCACCTGTCCATCCAGTCACCTGTCACTTCCTGGGTGTCAGCATGAGTGGCGTTTATCGTCTTCAGCTGCAGCGAGACTGTGATCCCAGCAGAGGCCTTGTAGACCAGAGTCACCAAAACTTTAGAGTCCAGAGGTACTTGGAGAGAGAAGATCCTAGAAAATACAACAATAAAAGAAGGCCTAACGTTCCTTGAAGGAATGCATATCACCCACCAACATCCATGTCAGGGGTTTCAATGAAGATCGTCTTGCAGATGTTGGACTCTGTCTATCATGGTGCCCTAAGGTTCATAACTGGCTGCAACTATCGTACCCACCATTACACCCTGTATTCACTGGTTAACTGGTCATCATTAACTTCACACAGACTCTCTCACTGGTATATTTTCATCTTTAAATCACTTCTTGGTCTGCTGCCTTCATACATCTCCTCCTACATGTCTCTGTGAGAGTGCAGCTACAGCGTGCGCTGTCAGGACATTATTACCTGCAGTGTTCCCTCAGTGAGGACTGAACTAGGCAAAAGTGCCTTCTCCTACTCCGCTCCTGTTTCCTGGAATATCTTGCAAAAATATATGAAGCTCTCGACCTTGACCTATCTAAGTGGCTTCAAACATCTGTTAAGTTCCTGGCAAGAACCAATGCAGACATGTTCCTGTTTGTGGTTTTCTACTGACTGAGCCATTTTGGCGTTGAGTTTCCTAATAGAAATATATTTAGAGTATCTCAATAAGGCGCTATATAAGTACAGTCCATTTACCATATATTTAATTCCTTCATAACAATGTTCATTTTGAAATTTGCTTCAGCATACTTGGACTTGTAATAAATGTATGTATACATACAAACCAGATTCCAAAAAAGTTGGGACACTAAATAAATTGTGAAAAAAAACTGAATGCAATGATGTGGAGATGACAAATGTCAATATTTTATTTGTAATATAACATAGATGACAGATCAAAAGTTTAATCTGAGTAAATGTAACATTTTAAAGGAAAAATATGTTGATTCAAAATTTCACAGTGTCAACAAATCCCAAAAAAGTTGGGACAAGTAGCAATAAGTGGCTGGCAAAAGGAAATTGAGCATATAACAAACAGCTGGAAGACCAATTAACACTAATTAGGTCAATTGACAACACGATTGGGTATAAAAAGAGCTTCTCAGAGTGTCAGTGTCTCTCAGAAGCCAAGATGGTAAGAGGATCACCAATTCCACCATTGTTGCACAGAAAGATAGTGCAGCAATACCAGAATGGTGTTACCCAGCGTAAAATAGCAAAGACTTTTAAGTTATCATCATCAACCGTGCATACCATCATCAAAAGATTCAGATAATCTGGAACAATCACTGTGAGTAAGGGTCAAGGCCATAAAACTCTACTGGATGCTTGTGATCTCCGGGCCCTTAAACGTCATTGCACCTCAAACAGGAATGTCACTGTCAAGGAAATAACAGAATGGGCTCCGGAATACTTCCAGAAAGCATTGTCAGTGAACACAATCCACCGTGCCATCCGCCATTACCAGCTGAAACTCTACAGTGCAAAGAGGAAGCCTTTACTAAGCAAGCTCCACAAGCTCAGACGTTTGCACTGGGCCAGGGGTCATTTAAAATGGAGTGTGGCAAAATGGAAGACTGTTCTGTGGTCAGATGAATCACGATTTGAAGTTCTTTATGGAACACTGGGACGCCATGTCATCCGGACCAGAGAGGACAAGGATAGCCCAAGTTGTTATCAACGCTCCGTTCAGAAGCCTGCATCACTGATGGTATGGGGTTGCATGAGTGCTTGTGGCATGGGCAGCTTGCATGTCTGGAAAGGCACCATTAATGCAGAGAACTATGTTCAGGTTCTAGAACAACATATGCTCCCATCTAGACGTCATCTCTTTCAGGGAAGACCCTGCATTTTTCAGCACGATATTGCCAAACCACATTCTGCAGCAATCACAACATCATGGCTACGTAGGAGAAGGATCCGGGTACTGAAATGGCCAGCCTGCAGTCCAGATCTTTCACCTATAGAGAACATTTGGCGCATCATAAAGAGGAAGGTGCGACAAAGAAGGCCCAAGACGATTGAACAGTTAGAGGCCTGTATTAGACATGAATGGGAGAGCATTCCTATTTCTAAACTTGAGAAACTGGTCTCCTCTGTCCCCAGACGTCTGTTGAGTGTTGTAAGAAGAAGGGGGGATGCCACACAGTGGTAAAAATGGACTTGTCCCAACTTTTTTGGGATTTGTTGACGCCATGAAATTTCGAAACAACTGATTTTTCCCTTAAAATGATACATTCTCTCAGTTTAAACTTTTGATCTGTGATTTGTGTTCTATTCTGAATAAAATATTAGATGTTGGCACCTCCACATCATTGCATTCAGTTTTTATTCACAATTTGTTTAGTGTCCCAACTTTTTTGGAATCCGGTTTCAAATTCAAATTCAAATTCAAAAATACTTTATTAATCCCAGAGGGAAATTATTTGTTGTTGTAACTCATTATCCTCATTTCATTAAGATATGTTATAGATACTGATGGCTGTAGACAGGAAGAATCTCTTGTAAAGGTCCATCCCACAGTGCATTCTAAGAAACTGGCTGCAGATGCCGTCTGATCCATTCACCCAGACTCGGCTGGCCTCTCGGTTCCTCTCGGGCTGTAGGACCGTCCGAATGCTGGGCAGAACTCCACCCAGAGAGATGGCCACTCCTCCCAGCAGTCTGCCAAGCTCCTCGTCAATGCGGACAGCCAACTGTAAGTGCCGAGGGACGATCCTGTCCTTCCACTGTCATGAGCCATCTATCCTGCTAGTTCCAGGATCTCAGTGATCAGGCACTCTAGCACAGCTAGCAGGTAGATGAGAATACGTCCACAGAACATCCTTTTCAACTCACTTGAGAATTGAGGCTGTAGCTGAGATATTATTTGAGTTTTTGAGATGTCAATCAGCTGCTGTTGGTTGTAGAAAACTACCTTGTTGCCATGGTTACGCATTATAACAAATGTCCAAGACTAAAAAAGTTTCAGTAAAAATCCTTCCAGCTTCACAGCATCCGATACCAGAGGAAACAATCATCCAAAAAATGTGATTTACATCCAGAAAAAGAGGAATTAAAGTTTCCAAAAGCAAAATCTCAAAATGAAAGTAACAGAGCTGCTCCAACATGCAGCCACCTTGAGAGGCGCAATTCTAGAACATGGACTTGTAATACATGTATGTATATATGCATACATGAACTTGTAATACATGTATGTATTTGGCCTGTCACGATAACAAAATTTGCTGGGCGATTAATTGTCTCAGAAAATACTGCAATAAACAATTTGACAATAATTAGAAATTGTCAAATTTAAGAAGAAATGTTGGTTAATTTTGTGTGTAGTACCTTTTTGACCACCAGAATGCAGTACAAGACTGTTTGAACTGAAGGATGGATAGTGAGGGAGCGAGCAGCGTGTCTCTTTAAGAAAAATAGGAGGGAGGCCCCATGACATGACATGGGCTGTCTCTCTTTGGTTCTCAAAATGGCGGATGCACGATGTGATTCGAGCTCTTTAGCATAGCCTTTTTCACACAAAGATTTTAATAAAAAGTCAGTGAACAAGTTCTCAACTTATTTTTGCAGAGAAAAACAAATTTTTACACAAAGGCACGGGTTTCAACCGTGAATTTTGGAGCTTTGACAAGAAAAGTGCAGCTGTGGATGAGTGGTTAGAGCAGTCATCCTCCAATGCAAGAGTTGGGGGTTCGAATCCACCAGTAGTCACATGCCGAAGTGTCCCTGGACAAGACAATGAACCCCTCATAGTCTCCGATGTGTGTCCTATCAGTGTATGAATGTGATAAAGCTCTGATTAGTCTCTTTAGAATGATTTGTTCAATTAGCTTTGTAGAGATTTAGTAGAGTGCTGTATGAATGGGTAAATGAGGCACAGATTGTTGTAAAGCGCTTTGAGTATCTTGATCAGATAGAAAGGCGCTATATAAGTACAGTCCATTTACTATTTACAAGACAGAGGTTTTTTTTCCCAAGGTCGGCCTGTTAGCCTAGCCAAGCTTAGCTTCTCAGTTAACTATCCAAAAATGCAATTTTGGATCATTAAAACAGATTTTAAAGAGAAAAGAAAAAGGGAGGGGTCAATGAAGAGAACCTGAATTGAGCCTTTTTGTCATTCAGTGACTTCAGTCGAAATATGAAGAAACGATAAAGCCAATAAATTAAAATGAGGTCTATAATTTTCCTTTATCATGCGACTAATTGATTTATTTGTTATTGCAACAGGTGTCTTAAATTGATTCAGTTCAGTTCAATATGGGGAAAACTGCAGCCATAGCAACTGGCCAGAAGACCATCATTGATACCCTCCATAGGATGGGTAAGCCACAAAAGTTCATAGCTAAGGAGGCTGGCTGTTCATAGAGTGCTGTGTCCAAGCATATCAATGGAAAGTCTAGTGGAAGGGCAAAATGTGGCAGGAGAAGATGCACCAGCAAAAGAGATGACCGTGGGCTTCAATGGATTATCAAACAGAGAAGATTCCAGAATCTGGCAGAGATCCAGAAAGAGTGGAATGAGACGGGAGTCACAGATCAAAAACCACCACATTCAGACGCATCCAAGAGATGGGCTACAACTTTCGAGTTCCTCGGGTCAAGCCACTTCTGAACCTGAGCCAGCGAAGGGAGCGTCTCAACTGGGCTAAGGAGAAGAAGGGCTGGACCGTTGGCCAGTGGTCCAAGGTCCTCTTTTCCTATGAAAGTAAAGTGTGCATTTCATTGAGAAATCAAGGTCCAAGGGTTTGGAGGAAGAAGGGTGAGGAACAGAACCCATACTGCTTGAGGTTCAGTGTGAAATATCCACAGTCAATCATGATTTGGGGTGAAATGTCTGGTGCAGGTGTTGGTAAACTCTTTCTTAAATCCAAGGTCACCACAACAGTCCACCAGAATGTTTTAGAGGACTTCATGATTCCTTCAGCTGAGAATCTGTATGGAGATGCAGATTTCATCTTCCAGCAGGACCTGTCCCCTGCCCATGCCACCAGAAGCACCAAAACCTGGTTTGATGCCCATGCCACAGTGCTTGACTTTCCAGCCAACTCTTTGGACCTAAACCCCACTGAGAAACTATGGAGTATTCTCAAGAGGCAAATGAGGGGCACCAGACCCAACAACAAAGAAGAGCTCTCAATGCCACGTCGCATCGAGGCAGTGATTAAGGCAAAGGGATTCCCAACCAAGTATTGAAAATTGATAAATCGCTTTGAAAATACCATATTTTTATTTGATTTGTTGTGATCCTAATTTCTTTCTTTTTTCTGCAAAAACTGAGTAGTAGTGTGAACTGATTTCTTCACAGTATTCTAATGTTTTGAATTCCTGTTTTTGTGAGTTTCATGAGCAAGAAGCTCAAATTATGTAAAAATAAACAAATAAATACTTGACATAGTTTAAATTGTGGGTCCTGAATCTATCATCTATTAAAGATTAACTTTTTGAATGGAATTATGGAAGTTAAGCAACTTTTCCATTATATTCTAATTTTTTGGAAAGGGTCTGTATTTATATATACATACATGGACTTGTAATGTATGTATGTACTTTATATATACATACTTGGACTTGTAATACATGTACAGGTGTATACATACATACATGGACTTGTAAACTGGTTGACCCACTATGTAAGGTGCTATTTATAAGACTGAGTTTGTTGTGTCTCCTCGGCCTGATGACGTTTTCTGGATGAAAGATGAAATGTTTCAATAAAAATAAACCGTCCAGAGGACCTGACTGAACTTTGTTGGATTATTTACTTGGAGTTGCATCAGCATATTTACCGTTTTTTCTTCTTACACTACTTTTACCTTTTACATATTCTGCTAGTTTTAGCTTTAAACCAGCCTAATGCTTCTTTTAGCTTCTAACTACTCTTTGGATATATTTAATTTTTAGTTAACATTTTCTACTTTTGTCTTTTGGTTAGCATTTAGCTACTTGTAGCTTTGAGTTGGTCTTATTAAAACTTAAAACTTCCCAGGACATCCTTGTAAAAGAGATTAATAATCTCAATAGATTTATTTCTGTTAAAATTCAATTCAATTCAAAAATACTTTATTAATCCCAGAGGAAATTTATTTGTTATTGTAACTCATTATCCTCATTTCATTAAGAGATGTTATAGACACTGATGGCTGTAGACAGGAAGGATCTCTTGTAAAGGTCCATCCCACAGTGGATCCTAAGAAACTGGATGCAGATGCCATCTGATCCATCCACCCAGACTCGGCTGGCCTCTCGGTTCCCCTCGGGCTGTAGGACTGCCCGAATGCTGGACAGAGCAATGGCCACTCCTCCCAGCAGTCTGCCGAGCTCCTCGTCGCTGTGGACAGCCAACTGTAGGTGCTGAGGGACGATCCCGTCTTTCCGCTGTCATGAGCTGTGTTTCCTGCTAGTTCCAGGATCTCAGTGGTCAGGCATTCGAGCACAGCTGGCAGGTAGATGAGAATGCGTCCACAGAACATCCTTTTCAACTCACTTGAGATTTGGGGCTGTAGTTGAGATATTATTTGAGCTTTTGAGATGTTAATCAGCTGCTGCTGTTGTAGAAAACTGCCATGTTCCCATGGTTACGCTTCATAACAAATGTCCAAAACTAAAAAAGTTTCAGTAAAAATCCTTCCAGCTTCACAGCTTCCGATACCAGAGGAAACAATCATCCAAAAAATGTGATTTACATCCAGAAAAAGAGGAAATAAAGTTTCCAAAATCAAAATCTCAAAATGAAAGTAACAGAGCTGCTCCAAGATGCAGCCACCTTGAGCAGCGCAATTCTAGAACAAATAATAAAGGTGAATAAAGGTTTAAATAAAAATTATATGTTTAACATTTGGAAAGCTTTTTGCCATTTTTAGCTTCTAGCTAGCCTTTTGATTGTCTAAGCAAGTCTTTCAGTGTATTCTAGCTAGCTTTTAGCTAACCTTTCACTATTTGCACAGCACTTTGGCCAATGGTGTTGTTTTCAAAGTGCTTTATAAATAAAGTTGTATTGTATTATATTGTTTAAGTTCTAGCTGCTCCTTTTAATTGTTTTAGCTAGTACTTGTACTATTTTCTAGTTAGCTTTAAGCTAGCCTTTTGCTACTTTTATTTAATGGTTTGCTCCTTTGGACTCAGCAAGTGTTCTGCTTCTTTCAACTCAGCACTTAGCATTCACTGCATTTTCACTAAAGACTTTTAGTTTCTCTAGTTTCATTTTAATAACAACTTATAACCACCTTTTTGTCCTGTTCTAACTAAAACTGAAATTTCTACATCAATGTAGAAAATCAAGACTCAGATGAATGTGGATGCTTGGTCTATATGAGTGAAGAAGAGAAACAGTTCCACACATACTTGGCTGTAAGTGGAGAGTTTTGAGCTGCAGGTATGGTTCCCTCCAGCAGCAGCGAGCTGCCTCCATTCCAGGCGTCCTTCGAGCAGCTGGAGCTCCTCAGGATGCACCGACCCTCCACTTCCTGGCTGTAGTACAGAGGCTGGACCTCCTGAGCAGTCAGATTGAACCAGCTCCTTTCAGTCTCACACTACCAGCAACAAAAAGAAGAAAAACAAGTTGTACTTACTTACAAGATGATGTTGTGAAGCAATCGGATCACAAGTTCACGTTCTGAATCAGTCATTATAGCGTGGTTTGTATGCAGACTCATTGTTCACTCTACTGTTTCTATTTAGTATATTCCATGTGTTTTTCCAGACTCACAACCTTCTTCATACTTTGGACCGTTTTATACATTCACAAAAACTTTCGACTCAATCAGAAACTGTGCTGTGACTTCAGTTTTGTAAACTTTACTTTTTGAATTTTTATTCACAAACAACAGAAATACACTGAAGTATCCTCAAATCCTACAAAAACATTATGCTGCTACTTTGAGCTACTAGATTTATACATTTAGCTTTCAGCTGCAATTTTGCTACATTTAGTTCTGAGTGACAGTTTAGCCAATTTTAACTTTTAGCTATTTTGCTCATTTCAGCTTTGAGCTACAATTTTTTCCAATTTTAGCTTTCCCAAATAGATTTGCTTATTTTGCTTTTAGCTATGGTTGTTACCATTTTAGTTTGGTTCTCCTGGATTTCTCTTTAACCATTCAGTTTCTGCTTCTTCAACCACTTTCAGCAGTCATTCAGAGCTCAGTGTACACATGGCATTTTCACAAAAATAATACACATTTTCTAGTTAACGGTACTAGTTTGTTAAAAAAGTGTCCTGTTGCACAGCTATAAAAAGTGCTAACCATTAAAACATGTAGCTTGATAGAGATGAGTGTGCAACAGCATCTGTAGTAGTATGTTGCAGAACATAAACAAAATTCACAAAGATGTTTGATAAAAAAATCTAGTGTTATTTTGGAGAAACGTGGAAACCCAGCTCTCTTTGGAGATCTTCAGCTCAGACAGAAGAAAACCGTCATCAGAATCTTCTGTCGCTCACAGTTAATTACATTTCAGGATCGAATGTACAGTTGATGTGCAGTGCCTGTTTTATATGAGGCTTACTTTTCAGTTTGTGTTTCTGTCTGCCTCGCATTAACACAGCAGACATGGAGTGTGTGGTTACCATGGTGACATTCTGAGCTGCTGGCAGCAACTTTGGCATTTCTTTTAATAAGGGTTCTCATTTTACTTTTTTTTAAAACAGTTCAAACGTCAACATGTAGGTAAGCTTAAATTATTACAAAGTTATGGTATAAAGTAGGGCAGCACGGTGGCGCAACTGGTAGAGCTGCTGCCTCTCAGCGAGAAGGTCCTTGGTTCAAACCCCGGTCCAGGGGCCTTTCTGGGTGGAGTTTGCATGTTCTCTCCGTGCATGCGTGGGTTTTCTCCGGATACTCCGGTTTCCTCCCACAGACCAAAAACATGCATGTTAGGCTGACTGGTGACTCTAAATTGTCCCTAGGTGTGAGTGAGAGAGTGAATGGTTGTCTGTCTCGTTTGTCTCTATGTGGCCCTGTGATGGACTTGCGACCCCCAGGGTGTACCCCGCCCCTCGCACAGTGATTGCTGGACATGGTCACCAGCGACCCCCGTGACCCAAAATGGAATAAGCGGGTAAAGATAATGGATGGATGGATGGATGGATGGTATTAAAGTAAAGTTTTGTGTACGACCTACACTGGTAATAATAATAACTTTGAATCAAAGTAACTAGATTACTACTAGGGGTGCACCGGTTGCAGTTTCATGGCCGATCACCGATTTCTAAAAAGTCGGACCTGCCGATTCAGATTTTGTTTTATAAGCGACACTGTCAGGTGTTATAAGGTCACAATGCACCTTTAATTTTTTTTATCTTATTTGATTTAAAAACAACAATATCCTAAAAACTATACAAACTTGTTTTAACTGGCCATGAGGTAGTGCTCTGAAAAATAAATGAATTTCAGACAATTGTTGTTAAAACTAAAAAAAATCGGTAAAATCAGTTTCTCGTGTAAGTATCGGCTGATCTCTGATCTCCAAAAATTAGGTCAATCTGGGCCGATAAACCGGCTGATTTATCATGCATCCCTAACTACTATAGATTCCTTTAACCACTGTGTTGTTTGGGGGTAAAATGAGCCAAGTATTTGACCAACATGAGGTAACGTATAAACCTGAAGCACATTAACAGGGAAACAGAGAACACTACAACCCGTACTCACTGACTGTTATATTGAGCAGAGTTTATTTTGGGTCCCCTATGTTCACCTGGTTCAGAACACGGTGGCAGTGTGTGTGTGCTGACTTCAGCCCTCATGTTGTTTTGGAAACAGTGACAGTAGTTGTAATGTTGATGGTGACCACAGAGTTTTGTGTCATTTCATCCTCTATTCTAACTTCACTGGATTGCAGGGCTCAGTCATAAAATACTTGTTAGTCATTTCCATGAGTCTTTATGGAAATAAATATTCCATAAACCAAAAAAGGCCAAACAATTTAACATAGAATCATCTTATGATGAGAAAGGATAGCTTTTGTCAAGCCTTGTAACTAAAGGCATGTGCAGTCTCATAATGCAAGATCTTGCTGATGTGTTGGCCCTCACAGTGTGTGTTGGGAATGACTCGGCTACTACCACAGAACTTTAGCTCAGTACTTGTAGAAAGTTATTTTAGTTAGTTAGCTAGTCACGAGCAATGATGACTAGTTGTTGTGCCCATCTTGGTGTTACTCTAATAGTTTGTTTATTGTTCATGTGATCAGTTTAACTCAAACTCAAAAATTAACAAAATTATAATGTATCCATACACTATACTCACATATAATAATTTTGTTGATATACCAAAAATGAATAATAAATTAATAAAAAGGTTATGCCGATGTCCTCGTTGCTGAAGGATTTAAATAGTGAATGTAGTTTTCGAGGGCAGTACGGTGACACAACTGGTAGAGCTGCTGCCTCTCAGCGAGCAGGTCCACGGTTTAAATCCTGGTCCGGGGACCTTTCTGGGTGGAGTTTGCATGTTCTCTCCGTGCATGCGTGGGTTTTCTCCGGGTGCTCCGGTTTCCTCCCACAGACCAAAAACATGCATGTTAGACTCATTGGTAACTCTAAATTGTCCCTAGGTGTGAGTGAGAGAGTGAATGGTTGTTTGTGTGTCCCTGTGATGAACTTTGCGACCTGTCCAGGGTGTACCATGCCCCTCGCACAGTGATTGCTAGACATGGGCACCAGCGACCCCCGTAACCCAAAATGGAAGAAGCGGGTAAAAGATAATGGATGGATGGATGCATGAAGTTTTCAAGATGAGTGCTTTTCTGGACTGGAACTGGACAGGGAATGCAGGGAAACCTTAATGTTTTTGGTGCAAGATATTTAAGTGGGTAGGAGGTATACTGTGTAGAAGAAGAGAAGGCTTTTCTTTTCTTGATTGAGGCAGGGCAGAGTGGCAGATCCTGGCAAGTGGAGGAGCAATTTTATCCATGAACAGGTGCGATGGTGGAGCCAGAGGGTGGCCACTGGTGGCCATGGCCACCATAGATAAAGCTTCAACCCCCACCTCCACCAAATCATTTGAAGAAACTAAACTTTTAGGCAATATAAAAATTAGGAAGCAAAGTTTCCTCAAATGAAAAGGGCTGGCCGGTTTGCACACATATGGTGGTGGACATCTTGGATTTTGACGTGGCAATCCATCCATCCATCCATCCATCCATTTTCTTTACCCGCTTATTCCATTTTGGGTCACGGGGGTCGCTGGTGCCCATGTCCAGCAATCACTGTGCGAGGGGCGGGGTACACCCTGGACGGGTCGCAAGTCCATCACAGGGCCACATAGAGACAAACGAGACAAACAAACATACACTCTCTCACTCACACCTAGGGACAATTTAGAGTTACCAATCAGCCTAACATGCATGTTTTTTGGACTGTGGGAGGAAACCGGAGTACCCGGAGAAAACCCACGCATGCACGGAGAGAACATGCAAACTCCACCCAGAAAGGCCCCTGGACCGGGGTTTGAACCAAGGACCTGCTCGCTGAGAGGCAGCAGCTCTACCAGTTGCGCCACCGTGCTGCCCGACGTGGCAATCCATTTTTTGATAATGAACTTTCTTACTTTTAGATGCAGTCATAGACCAAAATGGAAGTAAATGGACTGTACTTGTATAGCGCCTTTCTATCTGATCAAGATACTCAAAGCGCTTTACACAACAATCTGTGCCTCATTTACCCATTCATACAGCACTCTACTAGATCTCTACAAAGCTAATTGAACAAATCATTCTAAAGAGACTAATCAGAGCTTTATCACATTCATGCACTGATGGGACACACATCAGAGGCTATGAGGGGTTCGGTGTCTTGCCCAGGGACACTTCGACATGTGACTGCTGGTGGATTCGAACCCCCAACTCTCGCATTGGAGGACGACTGCTCTAACCACTCAGCCACAGCCACCCCAAGCCAGTACCTCACTTGTTTTTCAAGTTATCATGCTCACAACGAGCGAACGGACGGTGGATATTTCCAATTCTTCCTCGTCACTTTGTGATGGGGACGAATAAAAATCCAGTGTCCAACAGCGAGTAAGGAGTATGAAACTTGTGCGATCCTACCTCTGTACAATCCAGGTTAAGTTTTCATTAAAAACTGTCCAGTGCATCATGAGATATTTTGCTAACACACAGACAAGGTTGACTTTAACAGTTAATGCCAAGGTTTTAAGCAAAAAAATTCAATAAAACTTTCAGAGATAAATTATTAGATGTCCACCTACAACTTTAACAGTCAGTCTAATTCATGATGGCTGCCACAGCTGATCAACATTAGCCAACATAAACATGGCGATAACTAAGTCAGTGTTACAGGTACTGAATGAAACTTTGATGTAGTAGTAGCTGAGAGTCATTCACAAAACATGCTCACACACTGTGTGAAAGGTTTGACAGAGAAGGCTACAACTTCATCATTTCTCAAAGTAAGATGATTGTAGTCTAAAAGTCTAGCATGAAAGATGGCAGCCTATATTCAGTCCTTTAGAGAATACTATGCCTTTAGCTGGTTAATCTGGTGTTCCATGGATGTTCTTGGCTATGTGGCCCAGGGTTTGGAATGGATAGCAAGGATGACTTTGAAGCAAACAAGTTTGGATCTACTGAGCTTATGTCCACCTGTTTCCTCTACCATGTGAGTACCTGTCCTCTCCAGTAGATTGCCTTCCCAAAGCCCTGGCAGAAGGAGGAGACGAAGGGCAGATGTGAGACTGGATGGTGGATATACAGGTAATCTGACAAAAGAGCCCAGAACCTGAAGAACACGGAACAGCATATCAAGCCCAGTGTTTCTGTGTGTTTACATTATCACCCATTTCTCATAAGAGTAAATATTGTTGCTTCTCTCACTTGTCTTGATTCTTGCAGAATTCACTTCTATCACTGAGGGTCTCGTAGACCCAGCCTGGAGCAAAGATGGCTGCAGAGAAGTTGTGCTTTCGAATGAGTTCCAGAGCCTAAAGACAACCACAACAGGACCATCTTTAGAAATAACACTTTTCAGAGACAACTCCATGTTGAACAGTGAATTACCAGTACCTTGTTTGTTTCAAATTTTCCACCAACCACCTTTCCTCTAGCAAACACATCAACTCCTACGTAAATGTCTGCCTGGCGGCCTTGGAGCTCAGAGTAGTTCTTCATCCCCTCCAAGTTCTCCTCTGTCCAGTTGTAGTTGGTGAAAAATCCATCACAGGCATCAAAAAACATTCTGTAGTGGAGGATTGAAAAGGTTAGATGTTCCAAGCAGAGGAAACTTTGACACCATAATTTATATTCATCAGCTCAACAAACCAAACTATGGGTTGAGTTTTAAGGGGGAAAAAAAGATGTTATACATACACACACACACACACACACACACACACACACACATATATATGTGTGTGTATGTATGTATGTATGTATGTATGTATGTATGTATGTATGTATGTATGTATGT